TTGACAGCCAATCGGTGGCGGATATGTCGCCCAAAACGGTTCCCAAATTGAAATCCTCGTCCATCGGTTCGTCGAACTCTTCTGTTGGGAAATTAAACACTCATTTAGTGGACAAACAATTAAATGGAAACAATACCGTCAACTGATCCATCGGTGCGGACACCTGAAGTCGGATTTGGTGTCAGACAAGTCGTCGCAGCGGTGGTCGCAATGACCACTGGTTTAGGTGTCACTGTTGACGGCCGGTCACCGGCGGACACGTCGATGACAACGCCTGTGTCCAGATCGACGTCCAAATAGGTGTATATCATCTCTTCGATCGGTTTGTCCAACGGATCTAAACATACATTTAGTGATCAAAAACACTGCAATCAATAAACAATACCATCAACTGATCCATAGGTGCGGACATCAAATGTCAAGTTTTGTGGCCGATGTGTGGCGACAAAAGTGGTGACCAGTTTCTTGGGCGTCACTATTGACGGCCTGTCGCCGACCGATACGTCGATCACAACGTCTGTGTCCGGATTGGCGTCCAAATATGTGACCACATCTTCGGCCATTGATTTGTCCATCGAATCTAAACACACATTTAGTGATCAAAACAACTCTTCAATCAATGGATAATACCAGCGACTGATGGATAGGTGTTGTCGTCCATATTGGTTGCCATTACTCTCGCGGCCGACAACTGGCCACCGAATATCGGCGGCGGAATCTCTGTCGACGGGCCAACAATTGGCAGCGAGTTATCGGCGGTAACCCATGAATCGTTTGAATCGACGCTATTGTCCACAACCTCTTCAGTCACGTCTTCTGCGAATCACATGAAAAAACAATGACAAAGAAGTTGTTTCTGGTAAACAAACGCTTAGACTTACCATCGGTATCGCTGTCAATGTGATTGTCCGCAACCCGCGTAACCATCGGTGGTGTCATTCCGATGCCCTCATCGGTCTCCGCCACCTCTTCATTATCACTGGTGATGTCCACCACTTCCACCTCCTTTTTGTCATCGCTAACCAACTCTTCATTATCGGTGACCACCTGTTCATCATCGGTGTCCACCACGTGGTCGTCGTCCAGACCGGGCGCCCAATAGCTGACCCGCACGTAACCGAATTGTCGCTCAAACTCTTTGAATATCTCCTCGAGTCGATGGCCGACGCCATCGCACCGGCACTCAGTCAACAGATCCGTGGCGTTCACCCGGAAGTCCTCCAAGAGCTCATACATGTGCCGCTGGTATCGAAGCCGTCGCCGCAGCCATTGGTTCTCCTCCCGTAACTCATCCCACAAGTCGTTGACCACAATTGCGGACATTGTCTGCGATGGTGGCCAAGCGATCGGTTAATGGCGGGGATCAGTTGTGGTGATGATAATTGAAGACACTTTGTTGTTGAGGCGCTTCAAGTCTTGAGCGCCAAAAATGTGTTGTTTTTGTATTGTTTGCCGCCTTTTGTGTTACAGTTTTGGTAATCACGTGACAAACGCGTGGCTCAAAGTTTTTGAGTTGTGTTTTGAGTTTTATTACAGTTTGTCTCAAAATTATTCACAGTATTAAAAGTTGTAATTAATTAATTGTAATTATTTTGATTTAATTAATTAATTTCTTATTATTACAAGTGTTTAAATAATGTTTTTCACGTGATTTTGATTTTTATAAAGTTTTTTTAATCGATGATTTCTGTTGAGTTTTATTAATTCACAATTTTTTTAAAGTAATTAATTTAAGTAATTAACAAAATATTTGATTCATTCATCCAATGATTTAATTAACAAAACAATACATAAATCTCTGGACAAATATTTGAGAAAAATAATGTTTTTTAAATGAAATAAAAATTAACTTTTGATTACAAAGTTTGTAATACAAACATTCAATTTAAGACAATCAACAATTCGGTACATTTCTATGTATTAATAGTTTAATTATTTTGTACTGTAATAAAAAACAATTTATATTAACGATTAATATTAACTTAAAACTTATCTAAA